GACGCGGGGCTGATTCTGAACCGCCTTTTCCCTTTAGGCGGGAGGCCCCGTTCAGTGGGCCTGCCTCCCTCCCTCCCTCCCTCCCCACAGAGGGCCTTGACCGAAAGGGCCGCGATCTCTTTGCCTGGACAGGCCAAAGCACCGGCCAGATGCAGAGGCTTGCAGTGGAGAGCGGCTTCTGTTCAAATGGGCAGCCAGCGATGCGGACGATGGGTGGGTGAGCAGCCTGCCGTGGGCCTGATCCGGGATGGCTAAGCAGATCCCCCTCCAAGCAAGGGCCCCCGAGGGCCGGCCGGCCTTCCTTGCTGCCAGGGAGGGAGGGAGGGAGGGAGGGGGAGAAAGAAAGGGGGGCTGGTGGAGCGATGGCTCTTCTTTCTCACCACCAGGCGAGGCAGCGCCCATCCTTTCTAATTCCACGGACCTTGTAAATAAAGTTCCGGTCGAGAGGCCAAGCATGAAAGAAGCCGAATGAGAACAGGCTGATAGATAAGATGCCCGGAGAGGCTGTCAGGTGCTCACTCGGGGGACGAAATGACACTCTGGACACTGTCACTGAGAAACAATCATGAAAGAGCGCACCATTTCTTCACTCAAGCAGCATCGCGTCTAGGCGGCTGCCGCACCACATATTTTCCCTTCAAAGATGTCAGTTTTAAACTATGACTATTGATCTTGACCCAACACTCAGAATGGAGTGCCCTGCGCAGGAAAAGTGGCAGGGAATCACTTCTGAATATCCCACAGCAAAAAAAAAGCCCAGAGGGTCAGCTCAAAGTCACCGTGTGCCTGCGGGACTTCAGCCTTCTCCTTCGCCCACTTCTTTGCCGGACTTGGAAAGGCCCAACGATGGGCAGCTCCAGGGAGTGATGGGGGCCGCTTTACTGTCTCTCCAAGCACAGGCCCCTCCTTGCCACCCCCCATTGGACGTGGGGCTGGAGGGCCTCCCCCCAAATGGTCCCGTTCTCCCCCTTAGGTGGCCAGACTCTGCACCACCCCGGGGGAGGCCGGACCCTCGCTTTCATGCAGGTTTCCTCTCTGGGGAAGGAGGCTGCCTGGCCCAGCAGCCAGAGCCCCCCCCCCCGACAGGACAGGACAGGACAGGCTCCCTTTCAGGCCTGGAAGGGCAGGAGGGCTCCTGGCTGCTCCCAGAGCTGGCTGGTTTGCTTGCGGATGCTCCACCAGCTGGTCACATCCTCCCTGCGAGGGAGGGTTGGCTCTGTTCCCTGTCTGCATAGAGTAGCCCTCCCTGCCAGAGTGGACGGGGCTGCAGCCCTGGCTGGTGCTCGCTTCTGTATCTCTCCCACGCAGGGTGGCAGGCTGCCTCTATGATGGGCTGTGAGAATCCCCTCGGGACGCAGGAGAAAGAGCTGCAGCCCCTCGTGGGAAGGAGCCTCAGCCCACAGAAGAGGAGGGGGGTCTCAGGGGCAACCAGGAGACCTCTTGGCAATTCCTGCAGGCGGTTCTCTCCTCCATCCCTCCGGAACTGAACAGGAGACCCAGGGAAGGAGGAGGCTTGTGTGCTGGCCTGCTCTCCTGCCCCCCACCCCCCACCCCCACCCCCCTCTCCCTGTGCCCCCTTCCCCTCCAGGCCCACCGTTGGGGGCTCTGCGGCCGGGCGGTTCCCCTTCAGGGCTGGCCAAGGAGGACCATGGAAGAGGGACTCCATTTTGCACTGACATGGCCTCTTTGGGCTGCTGAAGAGCTGCTGACTGGAAGGCTGTGATAATAAAATTGGTTTTATTTATTTATTATGGATTTTAAGTATCATCTTTTCTGCTTACTCCACAGTGAACCATGCTCACGTAACACACAACGATCAGTCCTCGTGTGGGAAGAAAGCACAACAATTCTATTCACAGCCAGACAGTTGCCAGATGCTACCTACAGAACTACACAAGGTGTACCTATGCACTAATCTTAGCTTTAACATGTTAGTTAGTTAATTAATTAATTGGGATAGCTTTTACATAATTTTCCAATTTCATGAAAGGCGCATGTTTAAAGGATAAATTTTCTCTTCAGTGTTAAGAAGCTTAATTTAAGTCAGAAGATAACAATATTTTTAAAACAAAATATTAACAAAGGGAAAAGGTTTCTCTGATCAGAATTGTGACAAGGCTTATCAAATAATTTTAAAAAACAATCTCTAGCTTGACTGATTAACAAGATTCAATTTAACCAACAAGAAATGTTAATGGGTTAACTGAATGAAGTGTAAAATTCATTTTCATTAATTGATTCATCTATTTTAAGGGCACACAGTACGTTTTCCTTTAAAAAAAGAATCAAAACTATTAACATTGAAGTATACATTCGGTCACGTATGACTTGCACTGAAATGCAGTCAGAAAATGCCAAAAAACACGTCAAATTGAAGAAAAGTGACTTTTAACCTTCTATAAAGCAATGAGGGTGAAAGAAAAACCATCTGCTCTAATTCTCTAAAATTCTCTAAAAGGGAGAATTTTCCCCGACTGTCTGAAGCGCCTCCCCTCCCCCCAAGCATGGTTTTTCCTCCGTCCTGGCATTTCTCCACCCAGGGAAGCCTTGCCTGGCTCTGCCCACCTGAAAGAGCAGCCTTCCATCCAAAGCAGCTCCCAGGGGAAGGAAGGAAGGAAGGAAGGAAGGAAGGAAGGAAGGAAGGAAGGAAGGAAGG